ATTTATTTTGCATGTGTATTCTCTCTTATGTCTTTACACAGACCCATAGACACACACACACACACATGCATATGCACATGCACATGCACATCTAGATACATACGCATGCACAGACTACACACATACACATACACATGCATAGACATGGGCAAATAAACACAGACACATGCAGAAACATAAAGACAAAAACAAACACTGTGACTCTGTGTGTGTGTGGTGTGTGTTGTGTGTGTGTGTGTGTGTGTGTGTGTGGTTGTGTGTGTGTGTGTGTGTGTGTGTGTGTGTGTTGTGTGTGTGTGTGAGAGAGAGAGAGAGAGAGAGAGAGAGAGAGAGAGAGAGAGAGAGAGAGAGAGAGAGAGAGAGAGAGAGAGAGAGAGAGAGAGAGAGAGAGATATGAACAGGCTGTGCATTATTTGGATTGGGAATTTGCTGTTATATCATTCATTTATTTGCTTTATTTTTTATTATTAAGACTGTATACATGATAGCAAACAAAACATTCACAGCTGAGACTGCTACGTACATAGACTATTTACCAATTTCCAGACTATATGCTTTATGCTGAAATGCTTATGCAGCGCCCCGTTGACAGTGGAGGCATCAGTGCATTGAAAAATGTGTTAAGTTCAGATGAGCTAGAATATATGCAGAAGATGGCAGCCAACAGATTTGATCAGATTAATGAAATCCTGCAGGATTTACCAAGAGCTATGTTACTTATAATACGGTAAGGTTGTCTAGGAGAAATCAAGGAATTGTGTAAACACATTATGGACTCTGTTAATGCTTCCACAAGCCTGATTTAATCTCCACATTATGGTTCTGCTGCTGTTGCAAGATAAATGAACTTTGTTGTTGTTTATGTCTAATCACATGCTCAAAGCTTATGCTATAATCAGCTGTTTATATCAACTTTCAATGTGGGGTTTCAATTGTGTACAACTTCTAGGTATGTTTATATCCAGAATTTTATGCCGCTCTTCAGCTGCAGGGAATGGATGATAACTTTTAATTTGTCCTTAAAGAGGGAAACTTAAGCCAAGCTAAAACTTTAATCTTTTAAGAAAATATTAGATACTTCACTTGCTGGGAATGTTTGAACTATTCACCCTCATAGGTTGGTTGTTTATTTACATTTTATGCAAGATTCACATCTGTGATATGTGTCAGGCATATATCTTTGCAGTGTAAGTCATAAAAGGCTGTGTGGTTTGAATATTCTTGGTATTATGGTTGTAGATATAGCAGTTGTGTTTAGATAAGATATGTGTTACAATAGTACCTCTTAGGGGATTGTGTACAAATGGTTACTATGTTTCCAGTATATAATTTCATCTCATACATAACGATCTCTAAGAAATTTGTAATTTTATGGTAGAAGAGATGAAATGTAGATAAATAACTGTTGGAGTTGCAGCTATTTTGAATTATCCCCAAAAAAATTGAATGTTAAGGTAGATATATGACAAAATTTAATCTTTACTGCCTTTCTTATGTATCTCTTGTATTATGGAGAGGAATTTGAACCTGGAAATTCTTTGGGAAAATATTAAGTTACAATGAATTACAATGAATAGGTCAAAGAAAATTGGTTATATAGCTAGTAACAAAAGCCACTGGCCTCCCTTGGGGGAAAGACAATCATTCTCTTCAGCTTCTTAGTACTGTGAGGACGTTTTAAGATAGACAGTATCTCTTCCTTTTCTCTGAGAGACTAATGTTCCTTTTTCTTTGTGTAGACAAGTTATGGTTTGCTATTTCACTTTCACTCTGGATTCACACCATAACTATAAGTGCTGTTAACAATTTTATTAACATTCTGTCAATTAACATATGCTAAATATTTTCTTATTGATTTAATTTACTTGACACCTGATAATTCTGTGAGATGAGTGTATTGTTTAATGCATATAAAAGAGTCCTTAGTTCTTGTTGGCTGACTGTTAATTCCTTACCTGCATGTAATTATGCTTTTATTTATATTTATTGGTGATTGCATGTGTTAATGCATGCTTCTTAATATCAGTGTATGATATGGGTATTATAGCATTTTTTTTTTTTAATAAACATGATTTAGAGCTAAGATATCACCTGCTATAAGCTTGTGATATGATGTTCTTTGAATTATTTACTTGTGTGGTCTTGATTTTGTAAAAGCTTCTTAAAGTTCTGTGTTTTTTTGTTGTATTATTTTATTATTCTGTAATATTATTTGATTTGTTTGAGACACTGGGTTGATGTTTATCGTTTTTTTTTTTTTTTTTTTTTTTTTTTTTTTTTTTTTTTTTTTTTTTTTTTCTTCAAAATAAGCACTTTGTATGTTGTGAATATTTTAATAGTTAGAAAATTGGATATTCTTTCCTGTAATATGAACTCCTTGTACATCTCTTATTATGTTGCTAATTATTGAAAAAGTTTTTAAAATTCTTCTTAAAGATATGAGAAGTATTAAGAAGCTTTTGCTCAATTAAGATATGTATTGTATGTCACATTGTGTTGC